AAAAAAAAAAAAAAAAAAAAAAAAACCATGATAAAATCATTATCTATTTTTGTGTGGGAAAACCGCGGATAGTAGTCTCGGTTCACCGTTGTGGTGTTGTTTACTATTTTACTACTATGATTCACGCCGACGCTGCTTACCAGTACAATACCGTTTGATTATTTACTATGCGGCGCGTCAAGGAAATTACTGCCTCGAAGGAAAAACGCGCGGGCTTTTCTATTCCTTTGATGTATACAACTTGTGTTTTTTTTTTTTTTTTTTTTTTTTTTTTTAATACTGGGAACACATCATAACAGTGCGCGCGCGCGTCCGTGAAGATGGCATTGAACTTGTCGTCGACCCCGGTGGCCCTCCTCCTTACCCCCCCGGTACCGGTCGCCCTCGCAGGGCCGTTCACACCGCCACGTGTCCTTGCGCCATACCGCGTATTCTGCCGTCGCATTTGTCGCGTTGTGTACAGGGTTAACAGCCCCGTAGCGCGCGCGCGCGCGTGTGTGTGTGTGTGTATGGGGCGAGGAGGAGAGCGGCGGTAGCTTCACCATATTACCCGGTTGGTGCCCTCTGTCGGCGTGTCCTTGAAGAGCGCTGCTAGTCGTCGAGTACTATACTACTAACACGCACTCGGTGTTATTGTAATTATTATCGTATAAAAACTTGTTTTTTTTTTTTCCAACATGGTGTGTGTGTGCTGCGTATGTTTGTACAAGAAAAGCGGAAAACACATTAATACGGTTATATCGTATTAAAAAAAAAAAGTGCGAGCTAACCCGTAGAGGGAGATTGACGTCCCTCTCGCCTTTATTCGAGGGGCGGCAATGATGGTGCGAAATGTTTTGAATTACGTACTTTTGTAAATGAATCGTTAATTATATTATCTGGTCGTCCGTCAACAGTATATTGTTAGAGTACGCCGTTTTTAGCTTGGCGAAAGTGAAAAACCTCAACATTGTGGGAAATACCATATGGCAGCCGCGTGAAAGTCGACCTCGTTACCGACCGACCCCCGTAAACAAACCATAAACAACTAAAAACAACAACAACAACAACAACTACGGCGGCGGCGGCGGGCAGCCTGCCTTGGGCGTTGACAAGGTCGCGGTGGTGCGGTACTCTGCAAAAATAATATTAGCATGTCGCCGACTGTAACTAGTGTTAAATTTGTCTAATAACATTATCCTTAGATTTATAAATAAAGGAAACACATGTGTTGTCGAACAGAGTTTGTTTTATTGTTAAAATTTTATTTACTTTTTTATGAGAATTTTTTTTTATAAATGTTTTTTAAGCTATTTGATATTTTTTTCATTGACATTGAGATTCCAAGCATATGGAATATTGTTTTTTTTTTTTTTTTCTATCTCAAAATTGGTGTACGTTAAATTGAAATATTCATACTTGTGCTACAATCGTGTGGGCGAGTGAAAAATTTTGTGAGCCGTGCAACCTACTTCTTATGTGCGGCGGCCATAATTTTGTCCAAAGCGTATTAAATTTATTGGGTACTATTATAAAAAAGAACCAAGCGGGAGAAAAATGGTTACTACTTTCAGTCTGGCGACAGTTACGCTGGCTTTATTTTGATTTTCGTCATAAATTTCAAGTGATCTGTTATAACAAACGCCAGTTGAATCCTCGGTCGTGTGAAATGCATGTAATATTATTTTGTATTTACCATTCGAAGACAACGAGCCATTTGTTAGTTAAGGTCGTTTGGTTACAACAGAAGAATACTTGCTTTTTAAAAAAAAATGTTGCTGTCGATTTTGTAATTTATTACGTATCATTATTTGCAAAGATAAACAGCGTCGTAGGAAACCAAGTAGTAATAATTATCGAGAGACACTTGCTTTTGTGCGTTATTAAAAATATATTGTATACTGGTTCCACCGTGATAAAATGTGTTTGTGTAATTATAGCCGAGATTAATTTGAAAAATATCATGTTCCTATACTTGTTATTTTTCCACTTGCCATTATATAATTTCCTAAAGTTTATGTTATTTGGGTGAAGGTCGCGCGGTAGTAGTTCCGGATCGGTTTTCGAAATCCTTGGACGAGGTCGCTTTTGCGTCAAGTTGGGCGATTTCACTTGAATGGCAAATTGAAAATTGTTTGAAATATTATTGCGATCGACATTTTTTTTTAATAAGAACTCGGGGAGGGGGGCGGAGGACATTTAGATGTAGTTTTTTAAATGTCGTGTTATTTTCACTCGTGTCTTACAAACTGCGATTGTAAAGCAAATTTTTCGCCCGGTTCAATACGCGGAAGTGGTACGCGCATAGTGGTGGCGGCGGCGGCGGCGGCGGCGACTATAGGTACGTCACAGAGTGGTGGCCATCTACACCACTATTTCTTCCACCGGCCGCTCTACGCAATTCGTGCAATAATACCGATGCGGAATATGCGCAGTTTACCGGACGCAATCCTGGGTGTTATTACGACCCACGCCCTGTTACGTCACCGAGGCGGTACGCATGCAGCCGGCGCCCTCGCGGCACACTGACACCAATCGTCGTCCATTGCATTTTCCGTTTAGTTTTTTTTTTTTTACCAGACTACCTCAATTATCGACGGCAGAGTCTGCGTGACTCGACACCCGCCCGTGTTGTTGTTTAATTGATTTCATTGTATCGAGTGTTGACGACTGGGAAACTATCTTTAAAGATTCTATTATAAGCGATTGGTAACCGAGACGGCGGCGGCGGCGTTTGAGATATTTATTATTAGGGTCGTACGATTTTGGCACTGAGCGCCGTCTACTGCGGTCGGTCGGGTCACGAGGTCACTGGTCTCTGACTAGCGTCCAAAACGAAATTCTGCCTGAGTACATGTCATAAACTATACTGCATTATGTAACACTAAAACGACGAATACTTAATAATACGGTCGTATATTGTTGTTGTCTTCGCCGGCGGTAGAGATAAGAATCTGTCGACCATCACCCAATTTGATCAGCTGTCTTTTTTTTTTTTCTCTCTCGGAATTGAGTATACGGTTTCACGCTGTAGACACTTTTTTTTATGCGCGTTGCCACCGCCTCTCCAGCCTTTGATTTATTCGTAATGCTGCTGTTGCTGTAGAATGAGTTTGACAACGTTGTTTTTCCATTAGAATAATGTAGTCGAGGCTTAAACTAATATTCTGAAACTGTTCAGTTTTGGCTCGGCGTAAGAATTAGGTTTTTTTTAACCAGCTCGAAAAATGTATACCATTTTGTCTGCCTTTTGGTGTGTACGGCGCCACCTCGAAATCAGAGGTGTCGGTTTTTTTTTTTTTTTTTGTAAGGGCGAAGAGCCAAATGACGTCAACGGACGCGACGACCGTTGGTGCAGTCGCTCGAGTTCTTTCCTTATAATTATGTCTGAACCGAACGTATCACTTGTATGNTTTTTTTTTTTTTTTTTTTTTTTTTTTTTCATGCTCTTACAGAAAGCAGTCGCAGTCGCCAAAACGTCTACTTATTCGCATCAGCCGCCGCAGCAAATAGTCATGCCGCCGCCTCCGACGATGCAGTCCGCGTCGTCACCACCGCCTCCTGTACTTCCAGCCGCGTCTCAAGTGAACACTACTGGACTTAACGGTCAGCAGACGGTAGTGACCGACAAGACGGATAGCATGTTGATGGCGGTCACCAAAAGAAGTCCGAAAGACTACATTTTCGGCAGAGTCATCGGCGAGGGCAGCTATTCTACCGTAAGTACACCGTAGTATTGAAATCACCCGGTTTGGCTAACTATACTCTGGCGCGCGCGCGACACTCGGAAGACCGCAGTTGCATACGATATCGTCGATTTTCTATCAATGGGAAACACGGTAATAATGCTTATTGGATGTTGGATGGGGGGCGGCGGCATGAATCGTCGTTGTACGCAGTGCATCGTTGAATTGTTACGAGCGTCACAAAACGTGAATGGCGGCGGCGGCGGCGGCGTTATCTAACCGCTGCGTTGTCCGTTCTATGGAATATTCGGGCGTAGTATCCATTGTGCTTTTAAATTCGTTTAGTTCTCGATTGGGAGGAGACAATGTATTTGTTATTGGCAAATTAATCGATCGTCATTGGTGAAATTCGATTGCTGCCCACACCACCATCATGATAAGCGGCAGCAACGCGTGCAAAACCCATGCGCGCAACCATTGCGAGCGGCATATTACGCGTGGAACGTAACAACGCGCGTCGTATACGTTGTGACTGACCCCCGTGTGCTCGGAAGGACCTTTGACTCCTCTCGGTACTGCGAGTTTGTCCCACGGAGTAGTGCTTATGCATTCTGGTACGCCGTGTATAAACTCAGTGACCTTGGCTGGTTAGCATGACTGTTTTTATACCGGTTCAGTGACCTATGTGCGCACGCACCACTTGCATACTATCTGCACAACCGACCGACACACCATCATCGCGTTATTTATTGCCCGTGTTTATACATAAGAAAATAATGGCAAATAGTTGTAGTCGTCGTTTACTAACCGTCGTTTCCTGTTTCAGGTGTACTTAGCCAAAGACATCCACACGAATCGCGAACATGCAAGTAAGTAATTTTCTTTATCACAATTTATTATTAAATACCACCCCTCCCCCCCTCCATTGTGTGTTTCGCAGTGGCACGGCATCTCTTGTCGTCTCCCACTCTGCTCGTTTCAATCGGCTTCGTTTTGTGTGTTTTATGACCTTTAATTCAATTAAACGAGCACAGTCCGCCACATTCAACAGTCAACCACCGCCGATTTCATCGATCGGTTTGCACGTAGTAAACGAGAAACGGTCCAACCCAACGCGCCAACTCAACTTGACGCCTTTTGATTAAACTGCCGTTACACTAATTCCAATCGTGTATTATTAATCGGCAAAGTTTCGTCAACACTTTGTCAATGCATCATTTACGTTGTCGTCATGAGCACATTACCCAGAACTGCTGTCTGAGTATTATCGACCCTCGATTAATTTTCTAATATTCTTCTGCCTTTTTTTTTATTTTTTAAGTTTAACATTGTTCATAATTTCATTGAAGTTGTGTTTACTTAGATACGCATATCTAAGTAAATATTTGTGTTACAATGATTATTCGTTTATAATAAACGTTGCTCGGATGTTTCGACCTTTGTTGTTGTGTGTTCAGTTCTCTCAGATTACGATTGTAAAATATATTACTGTCTAAAAATATTTTATTTATTTATTTTTTTTTTTTTTTTTACAGTTAAAGTTTGCGAAAAACAACAAATAATCAGAGAGAAAAAACGCGAACAGGTACGTCGCGAAAAGGACGCCCTGAACATCTTGAGCAATTCGGGGTCCAGTTTTTTCGTCAAGCTGTACTGCACGTTTCAGGACACTGAAAGATTGTACTTTGTCATGTCTTACGCCAAAAACGGGGACATGTTGCCGTACATCAACAAGGTCGGGTCGTTTGACGTCGCCTGCACGAGGTTCTATTCCGGCGAGATCCTCCGCGCCCTGGAACATCTACACGACCTAAACATCATGCACAGGGATCTAAAGCCAGAGAACATACTGCTCGACCATAAGATGCATATCAAAGTAGCAGACTTTGGTTGTTCCAAAATCATTGAACAGACTGACGCCGTTGACGGCCGTAGTGCCATCAATGAAGATCAACAAACCAAGCAAAGACGCAATAGCTTTGTTGGGACTGCCCAGTACGTCAGTCCCGAATTGTTGACTGAAAACACCATTTCCACCAGTTCAGACCTATGGGCTTTGGGCTGTATTATCTACCAAATGATAGCTGGTTTACCGCCATTCCGATCCAGGCAAGCAGCACATTCTAAAATTGTTTTGCTATTGACTTTTTACTAATTTTGTATCTTATTTTCCTACAGGAGTGAATACATGTTATTCAAAAAAATCCTCAGTCTCGACTATGTGTATCCTGATGGATTCAGCGCCGATGCAAAAGACCTGGTGCAGAAACTTTTGGTATTGGATCCAAATGAGCGATTGGGTGCCAAAGATGCCAAGCGCTACACATCCATAAGGTCTCATCCCTTTTACGAGGGATTGGATTTTGATAAGTTACACGAAATGGACCCACCTCCAATATACCCTTACCTGCCCGGTAACAGCGAGGGCCAGGAATTACGCAGTCAGTATCGAGTTCCTGATCACCTAGAACCAGGTTTGGACTACAGGCAATTGACCAGGTTGTTAGGACTTGAGTCCCAAAGTAGTTTAACCACCCCAGCACCTGCTCCAAGACCTCGTAAAAGGTCTGGAGTCCTACATATGACTGATGAAGAAAAACAGCATCAACTGCAACAGCAAAAATGCAATAGTATATGGCACAACCTAGTTGAAGGCAATCTTATAGTGAAACAAGGGCTCGTCGACAAGCGAAAGGTAGATCTTAATAGCTGTAATGATATTCCAACGCGTTACTGACTCGATACAATATTTTTAGGGTTTGTTTGCAAGAAGGCGTATGTTAATGTTGACTATGGGTCCTCATTTGTATTATGCTGATCCTGTTTCTATGACCTTAAAAGGTGAAATACCTTGGAGTCCACAATTGCGTGTCGAACCGAAAAATTTCAGGATATTTTTTGTTCATACGGTAATTATACGATTTTGATTATTTTGCTCTGTACGCTAGCAGTTAATAATTTTTCACATATATAATTTTGCTTTTTTTCTTTTTATAGCCTAATCGGACGTACTATTTGGAAGATCCTGAAGGATTTGCACTAGAATGGTGTAAAGCCATTGAAGAAATGAGAGTTTTCATGTATGGTGAAAATATTACCTGTGCTTAACGAAACCGTGTTATTCGGTGACTGTTTTTAGTATAATTTCGACATAACTATTTTATCTATTATGATTTGAAAAAAACCTGCGTTATTACAATATTTCAGTTTTTAGTTTATAATATTGTTGCAGTATTTTGTTTTATAGAAAATGATCTGCAAATGTGTCTGTGATATTAAATTTTAATTTTAAATGAATTGTGTAACTTGTAAAAATAAAAAGGAATTCGTATATACTATACAAAATAATTTAAGATTAAGTAATTTATTATTAATGAAAAAAACAAAACACGGCTGGTGACACTGCCCCTTGCCCAGGAATAGGCTGTGCTCGATATAAACCCTAAGTTTTAGAGTAATAATTTATTTTCAAATTTTTTCCTTAGGATTGATTGGTTGTGCCTTTAATTAATTTGTTCTTTTTTTTTTTTTTTTT